CTCAGCCTCAGCCTCAGCATGCCTCAGCCTCAGTCTCAGCCTGCTTCAGCCTCAGCTTCAGTCGGCCTTCAGCCTGCCTCAGCATCAGCCTCAGCCTCAGCCTCAGCCTGCCTCAGCCTCAGTCTGCCTCAGCCTCAGCCCCAGCCTGCTTCAGCCTCAGCCTCAGTCTGCCCTCAGCTTCAGCGTCTGCCTCAGCCTGCCTCAGCCTCAGCCTGCCTCAGCGTCTGCCTCAGCCTGCCTCAGCTTCAGGACTGCTGGCTTGGACCCATGCCTCAGCTCAGCCTCAGCCTGCATCAGCCTCAGCCTCAGCCTCAGCCTGCCTCAGCATCAGCCTGCCTCGCCTCAGCCTCAGCCTGCCTCTGCCTCAGCCTCAGCCTGCTTCAGCCTCAGCCTCAGTCTGCCGTCGGCCTCGGCCTCGGCCTCAGCCTGCCTCAGCCTCAGCCTCAGTCAGCCTGCCTCAGCCTCAGCCTGCCTCAGCCTCAGCCTGCCTCAGCCTCAGCCTCAGCCTCAGCCCCCAGATGCTTCAGCGTCTGCCTCAGCCTGCCTCAGCCTCAGCCTTAGCCTCGGCATGCTTCAGCCTCAGCCTCAGTCTGCCTCAGCATCAGCCTGCCTCAGCCTCAGCCTGCCTCAGCTTCAGGCTCAGCATGCTTCAGCCTCAGCCTCAGTCTGCCTTCACCCTCGACCTCAGCCTCAGCCTGCCTCGGCCTCAGCCTGCATCAGCCTCAGCCTCAGCCTCAGCCTGCCTCAGCCTCAGCCTCAGGCTGTCTCAGCCTCAGCCTGCCTCAGCCTCAGCCTCAGCCTTCTTCAGCCTCAGCCTCAGCCTGCTTCAGCCTCGGCCTCAGCCTCAGCCAGCCTCAGCCTCAGCCTGCATCAGCCTCAGCCTTCAGCCTGCGTCAGCGTCTGCCTCAGCCTGCCTCAGCCTCAGCTTTAGCCTCAGCCTCAGCCTCAGCCTCAGCCTCAGCCTGCCTCAGCCTCAGCCTTCCTTAGCCTCAGCCTCAGCCTGCCTCAGCCTCAGCCTGCATCAGCCTCAGCCTCGGCCTGCTTCAGCCTCAGCCCCAGTCTGCCTTCAGCCTCGGCTTCAGCTTCAGCCTGCCTCAGCCTCAGCCTGCATCAGCCTCAGCCTCAGCATCAGCCTCAGTCTGCCTTCAGCCTCAGCCTCAGCCTCAGCCTCAGCGTGCCTCAGCCTCAGCCTCAGCCTGCCTCAGCCTCAGCCTCAGCCTGCATTCAAAATGTGGCCCGGGAATGAAGTTTTGGGAACTCGAAGAACACGAAGTGGCCTATAGTTGGCTCCGGGCATTGAAAATGATGCCCAGGAGTGGAGTTCTGGGAACTCGAAGACCACGAAGTGGCCTACAGTTGGCTCCGGGTATTCAAAATCATGCCCAGGAATTGAGTTTTGGGCACTCGAAGACCACGAAGTGGCCTACAGTTGGCTCCGGGCATTCAAAATCATGCCCAGGAATGGAGTTCTGGGAGCTCGAAGACCACGAAGTGGCCTACAGTTGGCCCCGGGCATTCAAAATCATGCCCAGGAATGGAGTTCTGGGAACTCGAAGACCACGAAGTGCGTTACTGTTTGGTTAAAACGAGTTCCCCGGCATCCCCCCGGCATCCTCCCCCAGATCGCGCCCAGACCCCCCTGGGGCGTCATGATGCTTTCTTTTGACCCTACTGGAAACCTATCAGTCTTCGCTGTTAGGTAAAAACAGGGTGCGAGCGTCGAGGGGCACACTTTGATTGAGAATTATCCCGGCAAAGCAACCTAACAGCGATGTGTAGGAGCATATCTGGAAGCATTCCCCTTAAGATTCAGATGATAATCCAGTTGTGGAATTCTGCTGTTCTCGCAGTCGTAGTTGCATTCGCGATGACAGTCGCAGTGGCAACGGCATTCGCAGTCACAGCCTCAGCCTCAGCCTGCCTCAGCGTCTGCCTCAGCCTGCCTCAGCCTCAGCCTCAGCCTCAGCCTCAGCCTCAGCCTCAGCCTCAGCCTGCTTCAGCCTCAGCATCAGTCTGCCCTCAGCCTCGGCCTCAGCCTCAGCCTGCCTCAGCCTCACCCTGCATCAGCCTCAGCCTCAGCCTCAGCCTGCCTCAGCATCAGCCTGCCTCAGCCTCAGCCTCAGCCTGCTTCAGCCTCAGCCTGCCTCAGCCTCAGCGTCAGTCTGCCGTCGGCCTCGGCCTCAGCCTCAGCCTGCCTCAGCCTCAACCTGCATCAGCCTCAGCCTCGGCCTCAGCCTCAGCCTCAGCCTCAGCCTGCCTCAGCCTCAGCCTCAGCCTGCTTCAGCCTCAGCCACAGTCTGCCTGCAGCCTCGGTCTCAGCCTCAGCCTGCCTCAGCCTCAGCCCGCCTCAGCCTCACCCTCGGCCTCAGCCTGCCTCAGCCTCAGCCTGCCTCAGCCTCAGCCTCAGCCTGCCTCAGCCTCAGCCTCAGCCTGCTTCAGCCTCAGCCTCAGTCTGCCTTCAGACTCGGCCTCAGCCTCAGCCTGCCTCAGCCTCAGCCTGCATCAGCCTCAGCCTCAGCCTCAGCCTGCCTCAGCATCAGCCTGCTTCAGCCTCAGCCACAGCCTGCCTCAGCCTCAGCCTCAGTCTGCTTCAGCCTCAGCCTCAGTCTGCCTTCAGCCTCGGCCTCAGCCTCAGCCTGCCTCAGCCTCAGCCTCAAGAGCTCAGCCTCGGCCTCAGCCTGCCTCGCATCAGCCTGCCCAGTCTCAGCATCAGCATGCTCAGCCTCAGCATCCGCCTGTATTCAGCTTCAGCCTCAGTCTGCGTCAAGCCGCGGCCTCAGCCTCAAGGCTGCCTCAGCCTACAGCCTGCAATCAGCAGCAACTGCACAGCCCAGCCTCAGCCTTCAGCCTGCCTCAGCAACAGCCCCGCTCAGCCCAACCCCAGCCTGCCTCTGCCTCAGCCTCAGCCTGCCTTCTCAGCCTCCAGTATCAATTGCTTCAGCCTCGGCACTCAGTGCGCGCCTCAGACCGTCCTGCATGAACCATCCTCAGCCTCAGCCTGGATCCGCATTCAGCCTGACTCAGCATCAGGCCCAGGCCGCATCAGCCTCGCCTCAGCCTCAGCTTCAGCCTCAGCCTCAGCCTGCCTTCAGCCTCAGCATCAGCCTCAGCCTGCCTCAGCCTCACCCTGCATCAGCCTCAGCCTCAGCCTCAGCCTGCCTCAGCTCAGCCTCAGCCTGCCTCAGCCTCAGCCTCAGCCTGCCTCAGCCGCAGCCTCAGGCTGCTTCGGCCTCAGCCTCAGTCTGCCTTCAGCCTCGGCCTCAGCCTCAGCCTGCCTCAGCCTCAGCCTGCATCAGCCTCAGCCTCAGCCTCAGCCGGCCTCAGCCTCAGCCTGCCTCAGCCTCAGCCTGCCTCAGCCTCAGCCTCAGCCTGCTTCAGCCTCAGCCTCAGTCTGCCTTCAGCCTCGGCCTCAGCCTCACCTGCCTCAGCCTCAGCCCGCCCAGCATCGGTGGCAAATCCACTAGCATTCAAAAATGTGCCAGGAATGGAAGATTATGGGATTCGAAGAACACGAAGTGGCCTACAGTTGGCTCCGGGCATTCAAAATCATGCCCAGGAATGGAGTTCTGGGAACTCGAAGACACGAAGAGGCCTACAGTTGGCTCCGGGCATTCAAAATCATGCCCAGGAATGGAGTTCTGGGAGCTCGAAGACCACGAAGTGGCCTACAGTTGGCTCCGGGCATTCAAAATCATGTCCAGGAATGGAGTTCTGAGAACTCGAAGAACACGAAGTGGCCTACGGTTGGCTCCGGGCATTCAAAATCATGCCCAGGAATGGAGTTCTGGGAACTCGACGACCACGAAGTGCGTTACCGTTTGCTGAAAAAGGAGTCCCCGGCATCCTCCCCCGGATCGCGCCCAGACCCCTTTGGGGCGTCATGAGGCTCTCTTTTGACCTTACTAGAATACTAGAAACCTATCAGTCTTCGCTGTTAGGTAAAAACAGTATGCACCAGTGGGGGGGGGAGCACCAATACTCATTTTTCAGAAATGAAAATTCAACAACAACAATCATTCTAAGACTGCTCGCTCCTATCTGCCCGCGTGCCATTCACTATGCATATCCCAAAGCCTGGATACCCGCCCTCTTCGTCTTCGATCGTAGTCCTCTTGGGGAGTTATATTTCTTCCCGGCCACGTGTAATTGGAGAAGCGCAGGAGGCGAACCCGCAATCAGAGGCAGCGAACTCTGGCACTTGTCGGTGAGACCCCATTTCGCTTGTCGCAAGCATATATCAGCGGCAATCTACACTGAGACCCCATTTCATTAGCCATAACGCTGGGGCCACTGCGTGCAGGAAAGCGAAATACGGCAGTGGACAGTGTTGTTGCCCAGCGGCCCCGCGGGAGGTGAAGTCGGAGCCCGATTTCATCAATCACATTGCTGGGATTCGCGCGTGCGGGAATGTGATCAGCTATACATAACAACAAAGCGCCATTACTACAGCGCCAGGATCTGCTTGTGCGAAAAGGGTAAGTCTCAGCAGCAGGCACTGGCGATGCTGCTCAGCGTGATGTGGAAGGCAACGCTCAAGGAGACGTGGGAGGTGAACTGGGGCCCGCCGTCGCCGGCCACGTTGGGGTGAGAGCTCTGGCAATGTTCGGGGGCACGTGGGAGACGATGCCCAAGCCGAACGTCACCAGCTGCAGCGCTGGTGCCGGCGCGTGCGCGGCAGGCCGGTTGCCCCGATGGGCTCTGGCGCTGCCCGGCGGGATGTTCAGGGCGAAGTTGGAACCCGATGGCAACGCCGAAACCCGCCATCGTCAACAGTGCTGGATCAGCGCGTGTGGGGGAGTCTTCAGATACAGCGATGGTGTGATAAAGATGGTTAGCGCGCTAAGACGGGCAGCGGCTGGTGGTTTTCTGGTGTTCGTCGGCGTGATGTGGACAGCGAGGCCGGAGCCCAACGTTATCTCAGCTACAATGGTGGAGCCAGGCGCCCCCGCTGTGTGGTGGTTGGGCGGCGTCGCATGCACTTGCGGTGTGCGCTGGCACCCATGGGTTGAGGCGTGCGCTTGGAAGGAGCGATATCAATGCGCCGGCCCAGCGGGCCAGAGGCGTGCTTAGATCTCCGGTAACTGATTAATAGTATTTCTAGTTCGCGCGCGCGGGGCGGCCCCTGGGGGTCCCCGGACGAAAAGTATCCCGGTCAAGTCCCGGTCAGGTCCCGGTCGATTCCCCCAAAGCGTTCCAGGAGCGCACCAACAGGGCTCCTGACCCCGCCGATTTGCGCGAGGGGTGCCACCGATGTTCGAAAACGTTGCCAATCCTACGTGTTTTTTTGACCCTGACCCCGCCGATCTGCGTGAGGGGTGCTACGGATGTTCGAAATCGTTGCAAATCCCTTGTGTTTTCGACCATGGCGTCGCGATCTGCGTGAGGGGTGCCGCCGATTTTCAGAATTCCAAGGATGTCCCAAGCGAAACGGCCGGAAAAATCCCGGACGCGGCCGCGCGGGGCCGCGCGGCCGCGCGTACGCATCATCGCCTCTGAGCTTTATTCCCTTTGAGAGGCGCGTATGAGAACAATAATTATTTTTCAGGAGTGAGAGTTCGAAGGGGGTCCCAGGCGGGAGCGCCGTTGTGAGAGTTCAACGTAGCTCAGTTGCGCGGGAGGTCCCAGGCGGGAGCGCCGTTCCTTGAGTAAATTGCTCGGAAGTCTCAGGCGGGAGCGGGGGTCCTGAGTAAATTGCAAGGAAATCTTAAGCGGGAGCGCCGATCCTGAGTAAATTGTGAGGAAGTCTCAGGCGGGAGCGGAGGTCATGAGTAAATTGTGAGGGAGTCTCAGGCGGGAACCGTTGTTGTTGCAATCGGGGGGGGCAGCAACGCAGTTTGAGGATCAAGATTTTCCCTGTCAGAAAACAGGGTGCGAGCGTCGACGGGCGCACTTTGACTGAGAAAAAACAGTGTGCACCGGTGGGGGGGGATCAACAATATTTATTTTCAGAAATGAAAGTTCAACAACAACAACAACAACAACAATCATTTTCAGACTTTTCGTTTTTATTTGTTCGAGTGTCCAATAACGCGTATTTCCCAAACCCTCGATACCCGCCCTTTTCGTTTTCGATCGAACCCTTTTTGGGGGGTGGACCTTTCTTCCCTGCAGGCCGGGCCCCGGCAAGCGGCGGAGCGGCCGCGGTCCGTCGGCCTGGCCAGCGGCAGCGCTGATCGGCGGGGCGGCCGCGGACAGTCGACCCGAC